GTTGAGCACAGAGAGAGTGAAAAGTGACCTTCTGGCTGGAGAGGCCACAGCCTGTGCGCGAGCTCCTCTTTCTCCCTTGGCTCAAGAGCCACCACGCTGCGGTCTCCTGTGCCCAGCTCTTCCACAGCGGTGGCTCCACCCAGAGAGGGTTCAGCGCCGCCTTACGCGCCCCGCCAGGTGGAAGGGGTTTCTCCTGAACGCCAGCCGTGGGAGGCTCGTGCTCGTGAGTCACGCTGCTGGGAGCAGAGCCCCCCGTTCCAGGCGTCAGGGTGGGCTGACATAGCCACGATGTGGACGTCAAAAAAATAACGGCTGCTGTATCGGGTAGGAAGTTCTCGGGGCGGGGGGGAACAGCCCCTCCCCAGCTACAAGTGGTAAACTGTGAGCGCGAAGCTCGCCGTACACCTGCTGTGGGTGGGCTGTAGCCTGTCCCCTCCTGATAATTTTCACCGTAAAACACCCTCCGCAGGTGCTGCCTTCGAACTGGTAGCACCGGCCGTTTACGTGGAGACGCTGCTTCCAAAGGCTTTGTCACCTCCACTAGATGCCTTTCTGTCAGCTGTGAGAAGCTTCGAACTCAAGACAGGTTCAAGCATCTTCTTCAGGTAAGCAGAGGCACGAGGAACAGCACCACCAACAATATCGCAACCCCAATTGGCTGTTCTTTGCCCAGAAGCAGGGTGTTCCCTGCCCCAGTTGGAACGAAACCAAAAAGATTTACAAGTCTCTGGATTCAAATATTCATGTGACAATGTTAATCCACCAAATAACAGGTCAATGCAGCAGTGTTGTGCTAGGAAAAGAGAGCTGAGCTTCTCTAGGTAGCTACGAGTAGGAAACCTAGTTCAGGGAAAAAAAAAAACAGAGCCTCTGGGGTTGCAAAAAGAAAAACTTGCTGCTGAATGAAGTGGACAGGCACTGACAATTTTCATTTGAGGTGACAGGCAGCATGGCACAGCATCAAGCAAGCAAGTCTGAAACTCAATTGTAGAAAAAAAATACCAGGTGTGGGTTCTTAAAGGATTGTGTTCCTCACAAAAGTAATTAATTCCCTTAATGTTGGAGAGGAGAGAGGGTAAGAGGGGACCCACTGTAATAATATTATTATTATGTTCTTACCCGTCTCATTATAGAGATGGCTTCTGTGGACAGAAATCGGGGATATCTCACTTCATCATTCACAATACTGTCAAACACCTCCTCTTCATCATCTCCAGGGAAGGGAGACTACAATGAAAGTAATTAAAAAAACATTATTAAACGATGGAAAACAGCATCTGCTCAGCTGACAGTTTGGAATTGGACGCCCTGCAAGGAAGCCCTCCTTTCCCCAGGAACACAGAGGGTAGCTTTCCACAGGAAAGAGGGAACAGGAAGGCAAGTTGGTGTCACCCCTTAATCCTCACTGAAGGGCTAGGCTTTAAAAATGTGCTTTTAGAGGCAGAAACACCAAAAACCGGGCTCTTCCTTGAACTCTGGCCCAAGCTACACAGGGCATGTGGAAAGCACGTACCAGCTCTTCTTTGGGACAGCTGCCACTCACAAGGGACACAGTCCAGACTAATTAGTTTTTGCAGTATCTTTAGCATGTGGAGCTCGAGTGTTTTCAAACTGCTTTGAAGCGGCCTGACAGCTGTAGGCGACGACCCTACCAGCTTTTTGTCCTTTTTTTTTTTTTTACGGGAAAGGAAGCGCAAGGAAGTTGAACGATCACCTCTTTTGAAAAAGAACCCAAAAAATGAGCAACTCTCTATGGAGTTCTTTGGGTTTTAGCCTGTAAGCTACCTGGGAGAGCCTGTAACGATATGGAGCAGAAGGAAAGCAATATTTGCACGGGTAAGTAGGGATTCAGCAGTGATGTATTCATACCAGCCCACGTGCAGGGACTGGGGCACTCCGCTTCAGTGCCTGCGTCGTTCGAGAGCATCGCGTTCGGCAGAATCTCTCACTGAGCGCCGAAGCTCGCTTCTGTCCACGCTCCAGGAGGTCAGGAGGGTGTTTGCTCCCCGAAAGCACCTGAGAGCAGGAGGCTGCTCCAGCTGTACGCAGCCAAACTGGGCGGTAAACAGATGCGTGCTGGAAACTAAGCTCCCCAAAACCAGCTGTGCCACGTGCTCGCTTAGAGACGCTGATATTAACGTGCCGCTACTGTGATTTGATTTACAGCCTAACGATGTCATTGAAACCAACATAGAACAAAAATCTGGAGGTTAAGTCTCGGACCAGCTACAGCTCATGCACTCCCACAGCTGCTGGCGACTCGAGCTCAGGGCACGGCCCGTCTGCGTGTACGGCGCTGCAGCAGCCAGTGTCAGGTGAGCAGCTGCTCAGTATTTAGTACTTCTTTTTCTTGGTGAAACGCAGAATCATTGTGGTTGGAAAAGAGCTTTCAGATCGTCAAGCCCAAGCACTAACGTGACACCCCTCTAGCAGCGGGCTATACGTACTGTATCCGCAAGGACCGGTACGATTGTGACGGGTAGGGCACGTTCAGTGTTGACAGACTGGTAGCCTCAGTTTTGTAACCTTTTAAACACACATTCAGTTTCAAGACCATTTGTATCTTACTAGAACTTACCTCACCCACTAGCATCTCATAGATAAGTACACCAAGACCCCACCAGTCAACAGCTCTGGTGTAGGAGGTTTCTGTCAGCACCTCTGGAGCAAGAAATTCCGGCGTGCCACAGAACGTGCTTGTTCTGTCTCCAAATCCCATTCCTGCAAAGTTACAGCCCATGAGAAGCAAGCAGTATTTTCTGCCACTCCACAGCCTTTTCTCCAGCAACTAAAACCTCTCTCTAGAGCAACTTCAGCCAATGCTGCCATTCCAGGGCCTGTCCTGAAGGCTCAGGCCAACGAGGCAAAACATTCCCCCCGGTCTTCCCTCCCACCCTCATTCCACATGTGCTTCAGGGCAGGTTTTTTTCTATCCCTAACTATATGCAATGAGGCAAATCAAACTTTCAGTTACCACCTCTGCCACCCAGTTATCTTTGCTTGGAAAGACACAAACAACCCTACGCTGTATTTTCTATATATGCTGTATTTCTACCAGCTAGTAGAAGCAAGTGTGGTACCCTAGTTCAGTCAAACACAGCTACTGTGGATGCTTCGGTAGTGGCAAAACTACATACAGTAAAGTAAAACACTGGAGAAGGAAAAGGACCTTTCCCAATCTTCCCCCATGATGGGGGTTTGAGGAAGACACTGCAATTTCAGTTGCTACCTCTGTTGTATGTCTTATTTGAAAGGTAGCTGCCAGTAGTGGGATGCTTGAAAGTAACTTTCTAGCACCTAGGCTTCCCTTTTGGGATCACAGACGTCCAGTTGAGACTATTTCAGGGTTTAAAAAAAACAGATAATCAATTTGTGAACGAGTGAAAGGGAGGTATGGATTGTAACGGTACTTGATCTCACTGTACAGTGTCAACGTGTTCAGAACAAGGAGAAACACCTACTGCTTTTTCTGCTGACTGGTAAAATGCAGCAGGATGCCTCATTAATAAGCAGAGAGATGAGCGAGTAAGAACCAGAACAGGTGATGCTCACAACTGAAAATAAACAAACAGGGCTATGCCCTGGTGCTCCCGTTATTCCCCTACCAAGGAACTTCCTCCGTACCATCGGAGATGCATTTTTTCCCTCAGATGATACAGGGTAAGCACACACACTATACACCTTTGCCAGTCCACAAGTCCCAAGGAACAGTCAAGAGTAAGACAGACTATGGAATTCCCCGAGAAAGAAAACTGAAGGGCCGTTACCTTCTTTGCAAAGACCAAAGTCAGCAATTTTCACGAAGCCTTCTGTGTCCAGCAATAAGTTATCCAACTTCAAATCTCTACATGAACATTTGAGAACAAAAGGGCATCACTGATGTTTCTCCAGTGCTATTCAGAATGGCTGAAATTCACCTGCTGGGAAGGCGTCGTTGCTTACTTACCTATATACTATCTTGTGCTCGTGTAAATACTGAAGTCCAAGAACCACACACGCAGCGTAGAATCTGTTGAAAAAAAAAAATAATCAGCATTTCAATGGATTTTAGTCTTGCTTTTCAGAATGTGAAGTCCATTATGAACTCATCTTTTCTTATTAACCATCCTCTGAAGATTACCAATTGTTTTTTCAGCTACAGATTAGTTTTACATGGGGTTAGGGTTATAAAGCCAGACGGCAAAAACGCTTCAGCTTGCAGCTTTCGAGCTGCAGTATGTTTGCTTGGCCCGGAGGATAACTTTTCTGTCGTGTCCCCTGCCACGGCACGGAAGGATTTCTAATTTGGCCTATTCTTTCCTTTTTTAGCCTTGTCTGCTATTTCAATTTTTCATTTAGCTTTTTTATGAAGTCTTAAAAAAGCGTTATAAACATTAAATGCTTGTATATAATTTTTTCCATTCAGGCACATTAAACCTGCACGTGCCTTTTTCGAACAAAACCAGTTAGAATCTCTGACCCTTTTAAAAACTTAGACAGTATTTACTGAAATGACGTAACGTAGAGGCACGTGGTGACCGAGATCTTCGTTCTCATCCGCTGAACAAACCGCCCTCCCCTTAATGCCACAAGCAGGGAGGGAGGGTACTCACACTGCTCTTGGTTCAGAGAAGACATCGGTGTGAATGTGCATCATCAGATCCCCACCAGCAGCATATTCCATTACGAAGCAAACGTGATCTTTGGTTTGGAAACAAGCAAAAAGGTTCACCAAGAAGGGATGTCTTACACTATTCACAGTTTCAAATATTCGCTTTTCACACATCAGGCTGCAAAGAGAAAAATCAATAAAAACTTAAAGCTGAATCCTCAACCACGATTTTTCAACTCTCAGGAACTACCAGTAACTTATACCTTATGTTTTTTCCTCTGTTCCTCAGGATAAGGTAAGAACTTTTTTTGTTTCAAGAGAGAGGATTTAATACTTGCACACGCATTAAGCTGATGCCAGGATTTCCATGAAGTTACACCGAGCTTTCACGAATAAAAAAGGAAACCCAGCAGCCCATGAAAATTGTACCCTGCCAATTCTCCTTCCAGATACTCAGACTTGCACTAAGCATCCACGGATACCACCTAACATCAGCTTCAATCCATTTTTAATCGTATGCAATACACAGAGTGGAAAACCAGCACCAGTATCATAGACAGCAGCTATCTATAGTCATTCCAGATTATTTCTCCTTAAGCCAACTGGTTCGTTGTCAATGCAGTTATCCTTCTTCCTGCAAGTCACATGAATATGGTCACTACTGAAGAGTTGTAAAAGAACCTTCTTGCGCTAAAACTAGACAGTTCTATAACTGCCACTTCGCTTCCAAGCAAAGAAAAATCAGAGTTTTGGGGCAAAAAGATTAAAAAATGAGAACAGTCAGGTATACGCAGCATTAAGGGAAAAATACGATGGACAAAGTATGACAGTGTGTCACAGGTCGAGAAACACCATTATAGGTGTTCCTGCCCGTAAAGAAAACAGTCACTGAAATGGGATGGGAGCCTACAGAGCAAGTAATTAGAATAAATAATTGTGAGACAAGCAAAGTGAAAAACAGGATCAGCTTTCAGTCAGAGCTGCAGTACAGGTATGGTGAGAGGGGCACTCAAACGAGCCAACGCTGCTCCCTCCTTGCCCCAGAGGAAAGATGACACGTCTGCGGCAGCCAGCTCAGCAGGGAGATGACGACTTGTTTTGCTCTTTCACGGAGTTTAACTCGGGTTTGGTAGAGCTCACAGTTGCACGCAGAAAGAAACACTGTTGATTTATGGAATCCACGTATTATGCTTTAGGAACTGACCTGTCTACTTCATCACGAGCGACAATATCTCCTTTCTTTAAGGCTTTAATAGCAAACATCTCGTTTGTGTTTTTGTACTCTGCCAACAGCACCTGAAACAGGACATCAGCGATTCATTGAAGAGCTGTATCTAGTTTTCGACATAGCCTTGACATCTGCTGTAGCCTTTTGACATTTACCTTTCCAAAATGTCCTCTGCCCAGTACAGCACAACATCTGAAATCCTTCAGACTGAACTGAAACCTTTGTTGTGATCTATGTAAATAATAACAAAAAACACAACACCCAGTCAAAAATCTTCTAGTTTGGCAACTTTAAGAAATATTGTTCAGAGCGACAGCAAAACCACTGCATTTTTACCTTCTGTCTTCGGGCTCTCGGGTGTTGGTGTATTTTATGTCTGAACGGGGAGCATCAGACTCACAGATTACTTCAGGCTGGAGTTTCGGGACAATGCTATTTCTGCCATTTTCAAAATCAAAAGTTGTTACTTCGTCCTGCGAAGAGAAAGAAGCCCGAAAATTTAAAACTGATTGCGAAGACAAATGCCTGCAGAAATTGTATTACAAGCATGGGAAAGGTTTAACACGAGAATTAGCTAAGCTACAACGGTATCCTTTACGAGGGTGAGCTAAGCAAGCTTTCAACAGACTGATGAAGCCTATTGCTCCAGTTACTCCGCTCTTTGTTAATAAAACCATTTTTTCCCCCGTATGCTCTAAAGATTTTGGGCTTTTGTGTTTGTTTTTTTTCTGTGGCGGAACCAACGACGTGGAGAGTTGAACACACCAACCACGGAGACAGTTTGCCACCGGCAGCGATCAGAGCGTTCTGTGGAGGCGATTCTGTATGTGAGGGTTGAGGGAGCACATGCTGAAATATAAAGGAAGAAATCCATCCTAAAGACGCCAATACTACAGCCCTGTAATTCTTAAAGTTACTCGCCTGAGATGGTGCGTCAGGAGCCTTTATCTCGGAGGAAGATTCACATATTTCCCCAAGGGAAGATGCACGGGGTGGAGCAGGTGGAGGCTCAGGCTCAAGTTCAAAGTCCAATTTGGCTACAGGAGAGTCGCTGGCAAGAAAGTAAATAACTCCTCAGTGTACAGCAGAGGCTGTTCTAATAGTATGAAAACCAATTTAAAACGGAACGTGACGCAGATTCGTCCTAAATCGGGTGTGTGTAGATCTGTCTATGCAGCAGATGTCCAAAATTAAAACTCCAGAAGATCTGCAGCCTTGCAGAACCAACAGATTTGACGTACGTTACGTACATTAAGGCGTAAGCATCTCGCTGTTACTCCTGCTCCTAAAAGTAGTTCAGAATTGTAGCTATCACCTACCTGGCTGGCAGTGTGAGTTCAGGAATGTGTGCATCAACCACTGGCCCAGTAGCAGGCACTGACGCTTGAGGGCTGAAGGTGCCAGAGTGATTTACTGTAGGAATAGCTCTTCTTACCAGCCTTCCCCAAGTGGCAATATTAATATTCATTTGAGGAGCTCTGAGAAACGTTTTGCCTGTGGATATTGTGGAAAAAAAGAAAATGGAGTGCAAGTAACTTCCTTACTTATTACCAAAAGCTATAATTAAAAAAAAATCATATTAATCAGTTTATAGTTTATGAAGAACAAACGGAATTTGTCATATTCCTTAGCAATTCCTAATTATTCACTATTAAATGCTAATGCAAAACAGGGAGTTCTCAAACAAAATGCTTCTAAATGCAATGCCAAATCCTTCATTATCAACTGCTTTATTCACAGGCAAACATTAGGTCTCTCTATAAAAACCACCACAGATCTGTACAATTTTTAAGCTTTAGATGTTCATATTCAACAATCACCTTGCTGTTTTGAAAAAATTTTCTTCTGCCTCTGGAGTTTTGGTCTTCTTTCAATAACTGGATTAAAAAACGTAACCTGCAGTTAAAACAACGTGTGTTATAATTCAAGTTTCAGAAGAAAATGCATTCTTAAAAGTCTGAGGAAAACTTCTTGAACGATTCCACAATGTAATACTTGCAAGTAGGCTCAAGTGCTTCAAAGAAACATTCTTACCTCTGCAAACAGAGTGCCCTGGGGTTCAAGATAGAGACACATGCCATGCCGTTGGTTATCCAGGAAATCTTCCAACCTCAGAAACTTGACTGCACACAAAGATCTCCAGTCACGCCAATAAACTGAGATTTCTAATTCACGTGACTACGACAGGAAACACATACACAGGAAATTACTGACTAGTAATTGTTCTGCAAGAGTTGCCTCTGCACAAAACCACCACCTAGCAGCAGCTCAAGGATCGAGCGGCAGAGCTGCTGCTTGACAAGAGTGCCAGGGCTGACTAGCCGTACGAGCAAGCCCTCGCTAGGATGACTGGGGCGTTTCACTCCACTCCAGAGGTGATCACCAGTGCCCGAATAAAAGCGCAAGTGTAAAATTTCCCCAAGAGTAGGGGAGAGTCACAAACAGTCCCCAGACCTTCTGAGCCACTCCAACAACAGTGCTAGTTCAAGGTATTTTAGCTCAAGCTCTGAGAACAATTTTTTTACCTGTGTTTAGAAGCCTCAACTTCACTCGTTTTCCATGTTATTTACAATCATCAATTGCATTTCGTGGCTGCATTGTGACATTTTAGTACCTGCATACGCATCATGATGCAAGACTTTATACAGCAGCTCTAGAAATACATACAGCTTTTGTAACGTGGTCGTGAAGAGGGGCCAAAAACTTTAAACTAACAAGGACTACTGCTATATCTTGCCAGGGGGACTTATATATTCTTAGGGTGTCTTATATGCTTGTTACAAAAAGCGAAGAATCCTGCAATACAATATAACAGCAGCATGTATGTTACTAAGTTCAGTTAGCATCGTTTAATTCCATCAATTTAGTGTCTTTATATAATAGCTGTAGGTTTTAAAAGAAACAAAGGTTAAGAAGAAGCAACAGATAAAAAAACCAATGGGGTTTGGAAGGTGCATTTCAAATACAGAAGGACACATGGTCATGCTCAGTGGAAGCAAAGTCCTTGTCTGGCAGGAAAAAGCACCTAATATTGAGCTCTTAAATAAAAGAGCTCAATCAAAATAAGTGAGCATGATGCATACTGGCTGGTAGGGGCAGCTACTAAAGTTTGACTAGTTCTAGTCTTACTCTGAGAATAATCAGGGCTTCAGGACCCCACAGCTGCTAGTTTTGTTCAACCAGAACATGAATTTCTCTACCTGCAGGTCTAAAACTGCTTCCTTCCCAGATGGAAGGAGGCTGGTTTGGGGCTCGGCGGGGAGAGAGCAAAAACAGGAAGGTGGCTTTTTTTTTTCCCCCCTCATTTGTTTTACATGTGTACTGGAGATGACATTTAGGCTCCCAAAATATAGTTTAATTTTCAGTCTATTTTGGACACTGATGGAAAACAACAACCCTTGCACCTTAAAATACCATGACTATCAGGTACCTAAAACCCAAATGCTTCATTAAACCTATATAACATAAATCCTCTTCAAAAGGTGTGAGGAAAGAAAACTCAAGTATCATTTCCATACTTGCATCCTCCAAGTAACATTTAAAGTTTTAGGAAAGAACTATTAATGATTTTATTTATTATTCCTGAAGAACTGATCAGCTTCACACAGGAATGCTTTTACAGAAGCACTATGACATCGCTTTACCTAAACATCCAAACTGTACCTCATATTGGAATTTACCGATAAATAAATAATACTAATACAAAAATAAGCACCATCTATCACAGGCTAAAAAGATGCTCAGTGTTGCATCTTGGATAAAAGTATTAGGTCAGTTCGTGGGCCAGAAAAGGTAAAGTCTCTAGAATGCCAGCCCAGTGTGACAGCTTAACCCCAGGGAGCTCGTTCTGTTAAGGACAGGAACACTTGCAGATATGAAATTCGAACAGAATCACAACAATAGCAAAAAAAAAAAATAAATAAATAAAGCAACATGAAATTAATCTAAAGAATTGACTACAGCTATCAATGAAATAAGACCACATTTTTACCCTGTCTAGTTCCAGTGTAAATTTCTGATCCCATGACTGATTGGAAATAGGTTTCCAGCTAGTTTGACCAACCACAGTGTTATCCAGCTTCAGTACAGCACAGACTTCATCTGTAAGTAAAGCAGACAAACTCAGCTTAAATCTTTAAGAGGATTTTCCACAAACAAAAAAATCTTCAGTAAGTTTCCCTTAAAAGTGTAATCTCATACTTAATTGGTTCTTACGGGCATAATAGTGTGGTTGTGGTTTTGGGGGTTTTTTTTTTTATTTAAACAACAGATGAAGAAACAGATAAAGCTTCAAATCAATTTAGTCTTTTAAATTACAGAACACAGCATGCACATTAGAATGTAAATAAAAGATACACGTAAAAATAGGAGAAGTAAGAGTATACTGAACTGGACAGGTCATCGGTTTTCAGAAGGTTTCTACTACTCCCGCTTTTAGTTTTACTGGTTCTGCTCATGAAAGAGGATCTGGCTTCGTTTGGACTCCAACCAGGTAGCGTAATCGACGTGGCTTTTGATCGACCGGGGACGTTTTCCAAAATATCTTGGCAGCCCATTAGCCTAACTTCCAGGGTACCTAGAACACGACAGACAATGATTTAACAAAGTTTCCTGTTCCTAAGTAAACAAAGTGAATGACTAATGATCAATTTAGGGCAATAGCTCACAATCTGACCCCCACAGAGTATAACACAAATATCGGATGAAATCAAAAGACACAGGTCTAAGACAGACAACTGCAGTGAAAATAATCATTGAAAATCAAATATGTGGGACTCAACCTCCAAGAAGGAGCAACAGTTCACCAAAATAACACAAACCAGGGTTTTGTTCCATGTCTCAGAAGTATCTTTGTTTTCTTCACTTGAGAACTCGACTGACTCGGGTTCAAGTTGTAATCTATGTCAATTTTAAGACAACAATTGTTTCTTATTAAAACAATGAACGTTGCAGATAGGACAACGATTTTTCATGAGTTTTATATAACAATTACTATTGGATACATTGCTTCGGCAAGGAAAACGAACGCATTGACTATTGAGGCTACAAACTTGTTTAAGACACATTCAGAAATCCCATTTGCCTGCTGCATGCTAAAGTCAAAATTGAGTTAGTACGTAATTTAAAACCATTGAATTGTTCCAACTTGCCTGAATTTGGATTTATAAAAGCTGAGACAAGAAGCTACTCTTCAAAGGCTTGCACGTCTTTAACCAAATGAGCTACAGAGGCTGCTGTTCTAATTTAAGAGTGCTTCCTCCAGCAGCGGAGAAACACCTGAACACCACCTACAGGAATGGTAGGCTTACCTCATCCTGCACAAGATCGCATCTGTAAAACTGTGACACCACTGATACTACCAGAACTAACCATTAGAAGTGGTGAAATAGCCAACTCGTAATCATACTGTCAGCTGGAAATGCAGCTCCTAAAGGCAGTGTTCTTTTGACAGCAAACACACTTAACTGTGAAACTCAAAAGCACTCTTTTGTAACAGAAACTTAAGTCAGACTTGACTTAAAAATGGTCTGGCAACATTATAGCCCACAGAACAGACACCAGTCTGAGAAGAAACCCCATCTGGTAGGGAGCTAACAGCCGTGACAGCTAAGCATTAGGCTATGAAGACAGAGAGATGCTGCTGGCTCCCCAAACAGGTTAAAAGGTAAAAGCATACTTCATTCCCAAACCCTGTTTAGAAAAAACCCAAGGAATTAACAAGCAGAAAGGCTGTAGTACTGTATAAGGGCTGGATGCGTACCAGAAAGTTCTGTTGATGCACTTTAACAAGTATGACAGTAGCACCGACTTATTTTTCACAAAGTGTTAGAGGCAAAGCACAAAGACACCCTTCATTTAAATCCATTTCAATACAAAAGCTCTTTGTGTAGCCAATACGAAAGTGAAACTATCAAGAACTTCACAAGCAAGTAGCTCTGTTTTGATAATTCCTACTAGAAACTGTTCTTCTGCCCCAGTAAATCACGTTGAAAGAGGGATTATTTGTCACTGTAACGTATCTGACCCATGATTATGTATTACAGGAAAAGAATTTGAAAAGAAAAAAAAAGCTGTTTTAAACCCAAGGCACGATACTTCCTGCCCACGGTCACCGACCATTTCAGAGTCCATACGATGAACAAAAGTTCCCCTCACCACCCTGCAATTTTACAAGGGCTCTCTCGACTGAGGTCCTGATGCTTTTCCCCCTTTGCTGCATGTCTTACTGAACCGAAATGGAAGCCGAGTAGACTCGCTCCATTTTACTATTATTGCCCGCTCAGCAGAAGAGTTCCTCTTTCTGTTTTAAAATATAACCCCACAGTACTTCACAACTGAATGCTGGTTTCAGTTATACATGTATAATTAGAGTAACATTTGAATTACAGACTGCTTTGTAATAAACTCCCTCTGCTAATAGTTGGTTTAATGGTTACATGTAAAGTGTTTTAGGAAACACAACAAAACACCAAACCTAGTCATTCTTCTACTGCCACTTATTAAATAAATTTAGTACAGCAACGTACCCCCAAGTAGTCAACAGTATTTGCTTTTCTTTAAGAACACTGAGAGGCAAATGTCTAAGAGCTTTGTTCGAGTATGGCTCGTCTCTTGAGACAGCTTCCTTCCAATGAAGGACAACAATTCCAGGTGAACCCAAACTATGAGACGTTCCTAAGTCTTATATTTATATATAAATGTACTGTTCCCTCACAGTAGGCTAAGTCTCAAAAAAAAAAAAAACCCTCCATGTTTAATTGCAAGGAAAACAATTCAAACCACTAAAGGGTTGTTTGGATGTCCCTCTCTGGTTTAGAAATAACACACATGCTTTGGCAGCACAAACCTCACCTTCTAGGAAGCCAGTGGGGTGCAGTGGGTGAGAAAAGCTGGGTGCTTGTCTCCAGCTCTGCCACTGACTTGAGCGCAAGTCACTCAACCCTTCTGCACCTCAGTTTCCCCCTCTGTAAAACGGGGATGATGACACTCACCTGCCTTTTAAAGCGCTTGATAATCTAAAGCTGAAAGGCACTAGGTAAACGCTAGTACTACTGTTCTATAGTGGCCTAACTCAAGGCCAGAACTTCACCTTTTCTATAAAAAGGTCAACAAATAAATCAAAGAAACCTCGCCGCATTTTTTTGGCGCACAGACACCTGGAAATTTTAAATGCTTTTGTCTAGGAAAAGAACAACAATGAAATGTGTCCAGAAAGAAATAAAGTTGGCATTAAAGGCTTGTTTTAATAAAATAAAATAAAAAAAGCTCCACAAATCATACCTGTTAAAGCTGCTGGTTTGGACAGCGTACTGTACTGGTTTTGAGTAGATATTACGCTTTGACGAGGACTTAATGTGGGTGAAGAGACCAATGAAAGCTCTTCTATAATAATACTGCTTTTGGGATGGTTTTTAGGAAGTTCATTCAACCTCTGTTCCAGTGAATACTTCAAGAGGTCCAACTTCTGGCTTGATTCATTAAATCTTGCTTGTGCCTTTTTAAAACAATTAAAAAAAAAAAAAAGGAAATATTTCAAAGTTTATTTTTCATGAAAGAACATTTAAAATAAAGTATCAGAAATTGTAATGACGTAAATTACTTCTGAAAGTGCCTTTCTGTCGGTAACTTTCCCAGATCCAAGTAATTTCATCACATTTTTTGCACCTTCTGCTACAGCATACTCTATCCTAAAATGATGCCGTAATTCTTCCATTCGGAGTTCCAGAGGGCTTATCACAGGTTTTGCTGCAAAGAGATACAAATGAACAATCTTCATCAAGGACCACGCCCACACTTAATTTCTTTAATACTAACCCTTCCCTCATAAACACAGAGGGGGGAAAAAAAAAAAATATCCAACCCCCAAAAGAGCGAGAGATGCAGATTTGGTAGCCCGCATATAGCTTGAACTACGTCATAAAAGCAGCAGTGACATTTTAAGCATCTGCATTTGAAGGAAGAAATAACTGACCAGGGCCTTAATCCAGCCACCAGGTCCTGCTCCCCAAAGAGCTAGAACTGCTAGAGGATGCAAGGAAAAGATCATGTCTTCAGCGGAGATAAGGGACAAAAGCCAAATCTCCCAAACACCACTCAGCTGGCAAGAAGGAGGCTTTGAGACTTCCACATTGCTGAACCCTGCTCTGAGGATTTAGCTTTCGAATTACTCTGTAGCTAAGCAGATCCCTGATCGGTTTCTGGTAATTCTCCCGCTTCACACGAAATCCCAGGGTATCTGGCTTCTGCCAGCACAGGGAATGCAAGAGGTCGCATGCACTGCCTTCCCCAAATGGCGCGGGTTAACCGTTCTAATGGCCACTTGTGTTTAGATTTCCTAAACAGAATTAGAAAGTTTCCAGATATATTCCTTTCTGTTTAAAGCTCTAAGAATAGCAGAAACACAAAAAGGCATTTGCAAGCTCTTTCTAGCTTGAATACCTTTCTTTTTCTTTTGAACAAATGACATACGCAGCCCGTGTGCCAAGACAGGGTGTTTAAAAAGAAGCCAGAAGTGTAAAAGCAAACAAAGAAAACCAACCCCCTACCCACCCCCCCTAGACAAAACAAAACACCCTCAAGTTTTTCATTATCTAGGATATATCCAAGCCCCGATTACGAGCATCACCACTCAGAAACGCATACGAACAAAGCGCCAGACCTAGAGATGTACCGATATGCCCACAATTTTCTAGTGCACTCGCGCTATTACAGCTCAGGGGTAATTTTATTTTTTTTTTAAATTTAAAGATTTCCAAGTTTAAAATGACTTCTGAAACGCAGCATGAGTATTTCAAGTCAGGTCGTTTTTAAAACACAGATTTTTTGGTTTTTTTTAAAACAGCTGTTTACTACTCGATCGAGCCTAAATACCCATAAAGGCAGCAAAAATTTGCCTCCATCTGTGCTCCCATTAGTAATAATAAGGTCAATCTATTTAAGTATGACAAGCAGGCTTTGTACCTGAGCCAGATTATTTTTTTTTTTAGGATAGTGAAAAGATTATAAGCTTTAAAGAAAATTACTAGTTCCTGTTAAGACGAAAGAAAGTGTGCATGAAGGGAGAATGAAGACCACAAAGCAAAAACGGACTGCGTAAGGTATAAAAAGGATGATGAAGAGAGACTGTATTTCTTTTCATTAAGCCTAAGGTATTTTGCTTCGAGTCAGATGTGTCTGGCATCCTAACACACACGCTGGTATGCCTAGCTTCTGATCATTTTTGGTTCATGCAAGCTTTGTCTGACATTCCTACTAGAAATTTATGATAACTCTGTGTGCATATGGGTACATCTCTACACGGCATCCTGACATCAATGCTACGTGTTTCCTTTCTACTCCATCACCATTATCAAAAGCCAGTTCATTGGTCTGGACCGCCTGAAGAATCTGCATCCTTATAACTTCTATTTTTGTCTTGCTGTCCTGGAGCATCTGCTGAGCTGTGGCAAGAAGTTTTCGATCCTATTAAAACAAACCAAACAAACATTGAAATTGTAAACTCTTCATGGAACAAAACACACCGAAAGCTTCAAAACCCACATGCTTTAGGAACAAGAACTAAATCTGTGTAGTTCATTCAGTACAGCAGGCCAATCCAACTAACCACATTAGGATATTAGTGGAAATTAAGTTAGGACAGAGGCATGGTTGATTAAAGCCACTCCCATGGAAACTGTCTCTGTTTAAAGCTGAATAAAGGAGGCATGATCTAGCAACATTACCTGTGTAGATTGATGTTTTGTATGCTGATATTAAAGAAAGGACATGATATTAAGTGCAAAATGCCTCCACCCTATGTAGAATGACTCAAAGGTGCAGTGAGTATGAGAGCTCTTCTAACAGACAGATTTGCTAGACTAAATCCATATAAAAATCATTGTGCTAATTCGCTTGAGCTGATTTTCAATCTTGAAATTAGAAATATGAAGTCAGCTTACACAGCACATTATAAATAAGTCTGCAGCATGTTTTTCTGAACAAATCAAAGCTGAAGATTTTTTTGCATTAATAATTACATGATATACAAGGGTTACTTCATGAGCTACTTCATCAGCAACTTAAAGCCCAGCCCTTTTTCATCTGAATAAACTAAGCTAACTGATTTTTGTTTTCAAAAGCAGGAACACAAGAAGCAGTTCAGAACAGAACATCCCTGAAGATGAACTTTCAAACTAACTGACGATATTATTTCACTGTCAGGAGCGCAGCCAGCCATCCACACGTCTCCCAGGCAGGCTGTTTTTTGTCCTCCAGCTACTGGAGATCTGACTCAACCATGGATTATCAAATGGTTCTTGGATGTGGAACTGTGCATGTGTTTCTGTGGCTGCTGCATGGCTCGCTCTGTATGTTCTGGGAATTACCAGTTAACTGAAAGGGTTGCATCCTGACTTGCAGGAAGAACAAAACATCTGACTTGCAGGAAGAACAAAACGGGGTATAAGAAAATTTAAGGCAGTCTATTTGTCCTGTCTGTGCAGTACCCATCAATCACAGTAATTAATAGTAGTGACCGTAGATGAGTATCACACTGTTATAGCCCAAAGGGTATTTTGTTTAATTCATTTTGTAGCCACTCTATAACTCCATTAATAAGTTACTTTCCCATGGACATGGTTTATACTTATATTTTTAATTTTATAATGAAGTTATCAATTATTGAAGAAGTTAAAGAAATTCAATTCTTCCCCTTACCACAACCAAGACAAAGAACTGCAGTGTAGCACAGACACCCAGAGCTAGAATTACTGGCACCATGAAGTATACGGTGAGAAAAATCAGAGAAGAGAGAAATTCGCCTTCATAAAGCTCCTCTATGACCTTGCCCCTAATGTATTACTCACTCGGATCTTTTAATGCCACCCTATGTTCTGCAGGGTAGGTACACCAAGATGCACACATAAAAAGGCTTTGGCTGCATGGGGAGAAATTGTGTCCCCTCTGCATCCCATAGTCTCAGAACTTGTGGTTTTAAGTTTTCGTATGAATCAACATTTCGGAGAGATACCACTAGTTTTCACATTTTAAGATTCCATGTTGATTATCCAGTTATTTAATGAGTACACCAAATGTCCTAAATAAATGCCTTCTCAAATACAAATGTCAACTTTCAAAATAACCACTGCCTACAGCAGAGTACAGGATTTAAGTAACAGATTACAAGCAACTTTAGATTCCTGTATTAAACCTTATCCATGCATCATTCTGATGTATAAATACGCTGGGTTTCTCTGTCTTTATCTTCACTTCTAGCTTATTTTTGATCTTGCTGCTCTTGATTGTCCCTCATACCCTCTTACTGCAACGGATTTGCTTGCTCAGAGGCAACATCAGCCCTTCAGCGCGTAGAACGGAGGTAATTCAGGATTATAGAGATATCGTTACGTTTTCAAGAGACAGAAAACCCCATCTTCAGAATCGAAATGGATGCGTTATACTCAGCAGCTCTTTTAGTGTCAGAGGCTGAATGCAAAAGTATTTCAAGGCATCTCCTGAGTACAGCAGAACTGACAGTGCCTGTAAAACTGATCTGCAAAGCTGCCGTGGGATCTCAGAGAATACACACAAGTCCAAGGAAAGATGATCAATATCTCAGAAACACTTAAGTCTGAATAGGTTGAACTGAATGTTACTGAGGCCAGTAGAGTAAGTAGAAAGGGGAAAACCCTCCCATGAGATGATGGGTTTATTACTATTAACAGACTGTGCTTTTTCATTTTTAAGAAACAAACAGTGACCTTCCTCCACTCAACACAGGTCTGAAAACAACACAGCAACTTCAAAATTAGATCATACAGTACACTGGAATAAAGGTCACAAAAGAGGTTAATATGTTTTAAGGAGGGTCCTGCGACTACTTTTTAAACAACTACTGGATTGGATGCAAACTGGGAACTTTCTGCCCCTTTTGCCCACCTCATCCAGACACTTCAGTTGTTTTAAGCTCTGCTTTTTAAAACGTAATCACCACGCTCAAGCCTGCGGTCTAAACCTGCCCAATTACCTCCCTACTGAGCATTAAGAACACGAGAGAACGCATACGCACCACTTCCATCCCGTTTGTTGAAGCAGCTGGCAATCCTTTTGGGTTTTCACTGGGCTTGCTCTCCCCAGCCCCAGTTACTATATATACTCGATCTGGCAGGCTGATTTAAGCATTTACCAATTGCAAATACCAGATTTGACCATCAATTTTAATTAAGTGCCTCAATCATAAAGCAAGGCAGAATTTATCTTTTCTACCCAGTCTGATCAAAGCCTGCTGACAGTGTCTAATATTATAGCCTGAGTGTTTAGTTAAGATTTTCAGGCTGTTATAAAGTTACTTACTGAGGGTTTACTAGGAACATAATTCATGTCTGTCTTTTGATCCATTTGGGTCAGCTAATTATTACTTTTAAGTGTACCTGATGTTAAGTACATGGCCCCAGAGGATGCAGACTCCAGGTTCTCCAGGAGCTGAGGGCCTGTGGTGCGTGGACAGCATTCCCAGCCCCTTAGTCATAAGGTACGCTCCAGATATTCCTTCCCTCTGCCCCGGGCTGGTAGGTTACAGTCACTTTTAGATAAGGCTATCCAAAGTACCAGTGGGCTCAACAGAAGTGCTGCTGGGACAGAATGGGCTTGATGGCACCTACGGTCCATCCTGTCTACACTCATTTTTCTGGGACTGAGCAGCATCCACTGTAATTTTTTCGAGGTATAAGAAAGTCATACAGCAGGCAGACACAAAGTAATCTGCCTCTCCACCAGCCCCTTGCAGAAATTCACTCAGGAACATGAAGTTCCTTTCTGACACTTTCTGGTTAGTATCCATTAGTTAGTATCTGGTTAGTATCTCCTTGACCAGCAGGCTGAGTGAGGTTATCCTCCCCCTCTACTCTGGTGAGGCCACATCTGGGGTACTGTGTCCAGTTCTGGGTCCCCCCGCTCAAGAAAGACAAGGGACTACTGAAGACAGTCCAGCGGAGGGCTACGAAGATAATTAGGGGACTGGAGCATCTCTCTTATGGGGAGAGGGTGAGAGATCCGGGTCTGTTTAGCCTGTAGAATGCTCGTAATACCTAAAGGGCAGGTGTCAAGAGGATGGGGCCAGGCCCTTCTCAGTGGGGCCCAGTGACAGGACAAAAGGCAATGGGCACAAACTGGAGCATGGGAAATTCCGCCTCAACATGAGGAAAAACCTCTTTACTCTGAGGGTGACAGAGCCCTGGAACAGGGAGGCTCTGGAGTCGCCTTCCCTGGAGATATTCAAAACCCGCCTGGACGCGGTCCTGTGCGACCTGCTCTGGGTGAACCTGCTTTAGCAGGGGGTTGGACTAGGTGATTTCCAGAGGTCCCTTCCAACTCCTGCCACCCTGTGATTCTGTGACTGTAAGGGGTAGCAACGCAATTCACAGATGGCTACTCTTCAAACCAAACACCACTTTGTAAGTTCACTGACCTAGGGAGGTGTTGGCTCAGTCAGTTAGGACCTTAAAACATTTTGGTTTTGTTTACTATTGTCTGGACACAGAAACATCTAACCAAGACACTACTTGCTATTTGTTAGATCTATCCTTGCGTTTCCCCTCAGTTTGGAAATTCATCTCCTTAAGGATTTAGTAGAAGTGAATGGAAAGAACAGGTAACTAATAACTAATCAAGGGTGAAGGGGCAGGTAAGTAAAGGACACCCCCCCTTTTTTTTTTCCTCATTTGAAAACTATGACTGCCTTATACTCACAGAATATGTGGGCATTTTTTTTGGTTGGTTGGGGTTTTTTCCTTCATTTAAAAAGTTTGCCTTGTCTTTCAGTCAAGAGATTCTTAGAGTATGATGAGTTTTAGTTAGGACTGCGTAATAAGTCAAATCCATTTAGGCGTTAGCAAACACTTCCTCCCCACCTCGCTGGAGAATCACAGAATGGTTTGGGTTGGGAAGGACCTTAGAGATCATCCAGCTCCAAACCCCTGCCATGGGCAGGGACACCTCCCACCAGACCAGGTCGCTCCCAGCCCCATCCAGCCTGGCCTTGAGCGCTGCCAGGGAGGGGGCAGCCACGGCTGCTCTGGGCAACCCCTGCCAGTGTCTCACCGCCCTCACAGGGAAGAATAACTTCTGGTGCTACCAAGAGAGAGCGAGCGCAAGTGAGCAAGATCTAGAAATAAGTGTGGCTTTATTCTTAATTTCAGTTTGATGCTATTAGATGCTACCTCTAGAATACCACACTCTGTAAAAAAAAAATAATGTATTTTTATGTGTACTTTACGTGCATGTGTACTAATGCAGATTATAACAACTCTTATCAGAGTACTACACACATCTTATTAAAACAAATATTTGGTACAAATGTTTTTACTACAACTAGATGACCATGTCAGAAGCATACTTGGCAATGCTGCCTTTTGTGTAATTATCATCCATATTACAACTTTAAGCTAATGGATTTTTAATTTTTCGCTTTTGGTGGAGCTAGAAAAAGCATCAGATACCAGTCAGTGTCATACCAAGCTTTGCTGCTAAGAGAATCACGCATGCTCAAAGATTACTAGATGTACTAAATTTAGTAAGCCGGATTTGTTATTTAGGTTGAACTGCATGTGAGCAAATTGATAAAACAATCACTTGAGTGGGTAAGAAACCACAACAAACAACGGTATAGTAAACTGTAGCAGATTTGACCTAACTATTTAACAAAAGTATACTCCAAACTAAAAACACTGAAATTGCGTACTATTTATACAGTGTACACTCACACCACAGCGACATGAAAGTCCAGAGTCATATCATGTTCTTTAAGCGTTCCAAAGCCTTACCTTTGAAGAGCCATTTGAGTACATCTGTATCATATTTTCTGCTCCCTGTTTTACCTTCAGTTCTATATCCAATTGCTTCTTTAAGGCCATCAATCTGTTGTTAGTAGAAAAACGAGGATCGCTATTTGGAGTATCAGGAGTCCTAGGACAATCTGTGAATTAAAGGTAAGATTTAAAAAAAAAAAAAAAAAAAGAAGGAAAAAATCGAAACCCCATGAAATCCCAAACCCAACCCCGCCCCCGAAAACACCCTAAACTCTATTCTGTTAAGTTATAGATTAAACAAAGCTGGAACATCGTACTTAAGACTGACTCTCCTGTCCAGAGCTACTTTGCTACAGCCCTGCAAATGCGCCTTAGCATGAAAAGCCTCACGAAAGCCTAGTGACTCCTACACGCGTCCTAATTCACATGAATCACTTCCGGGGGTGGGAAAACAGGCAGGTTTGTAGCTGGGTCTATTTTCGTTTCAAAGAAGATTTATTTCTTAAGGAATGTCTTGAGTCAATTAAAAAATGCAGTTTTCCATTAAGCTTTCTTACACTCCTGATTTTAAATCTAAGTGTTTTATAAACAAACTTGGGTGATAATATTTAACACTAATGAGCATGGTCTAAATACACATATTAAGTAGATCCTCATCTGCAGTGAGCACTGCAGACATGGTTTATGTCAAAATTAAGAAGAGATAAAATAAGCCTTTTCCTTAGTTGTAAAGCTGAACGATTTTTGCTCGGGAATCGTAACAGAATTCTGGGATAATTGGATATACAGGCAGACAGGTTATTGAACAACTGACCTGTGGGAAGGATAAAGCTTTTTTATTTGGCAATGTCACTGCGTTTAGATCTCCATCTTGCTGGATTAATTTAATGGAATGCAAGTTAGTTTTATCAATCAAATTATATTGTCAAACTCCTTAACTTTTCTATCCTTCTCCAGAAAAAAAAAAATCTATTAATCACTGGTTCATATTTCAGCTTCTGCAACACAAACTGTCATCAAAGTGAAAATAAGCGGCGACTGGACTATTTCCTAGTACTTTACTATTTCCAACTACGACTGTCCTTTTAGCTAACTATCTTCCCTAACAATCCCAATGGCTTCTCTTTCAAACTTTTTGTAAGAGAGGATAAATTAAGTCCACTGTAATAAATGTTTTTCTGTTGTTGATTTCTTCTACCCTAACAACCGAGAGAATACCTTCTCTATGGGCAAGTGACATCAGTTCGGTCTCCTGGAAGACAATATTTACCCACTAGCAACAGTACAGTCTTTTTTTTCCAATTTTAATTAATTTTCCTTGAATTAAGACTACGATGATGGATCAAGTTCCTGAAATCCTCAGTTATTAGAAAACACAGGCATTGCACTAGTAACTTACAAATTGTTATTTATGAGGTGTCGTGGGGAGGAGATGTCTTATCCACCATTTCATATTTCTTCTGGAGAACCTTCTGATAACTAGTTTTGGAGATTTAATACATTTTACTTTCAAATTTGCTGTGTAGTTTCCTCCTAAATCTCAGTCTTTGCTGAGGCTACACACAGTTTTCAAGTCAGGAGAAGTTTTAAGTTCCTCTGCTGCTAATTCACTCTTCACTTCAAGCCACTTCAAGATTCTTACTGCATCCTCACTACTTAAAGGTAGTACAGAAAATACCAGATGTTTAAAAAAAAACCCCCAAAACCCTGGGTCATTCCTCATCTGTTTTGTCGTTCACCCTCTCCTCAATGTTTGGCTTGGTTTCTCTGTGAAACTGCACTTGAACAGCTTTACCTTAAATCTGTTATTAATAAAACAAAGATTAACAACATGCTTTCCTCCCACTTATGTCTTCACATTCAACTAATCCTCACCTAATAATCTATTCAAAATTAGAACAAACATCAAACTTGAAAGTCACACTGTCAAGTCTCCTTGTAAAGTAGATTAATCATATAAATGAATATTTACCAACTTTAGATTTATGATGCAGGCCTCTGCCACTTAAAGATCCCAGCCTTCTGATGATCCCTGGGAAGACTGCGGGGCTCCTGAAGTCTGCTTTCACAGCTTTTAAAGATGCACACAAACAGTCTTCCTTTGCATTAAACCAACACTCAAGTTGCAAGTCAAGGACTAATTAGAGATACCAGGGCTCAGGGTGCCCAGGCAGCTGTTATTATCTCCCTTTGCGTGTCTGCGCTGTGAAGGTGTAACCGCACCGCTTCCCTGGGTCATCTCAGGAGCTGGTTTGCACTTGTGGACCTAAACTACCCTCTACCATGTAGTTTAAAAGGTTCTACTATATGCTTTGTTAGTAACCAGCAGCAAAGGAAACTTTCTGCAGTATGGACTAATTGCTAGGAAGAAATAATGTTTTGCCTTCAGGCGTAAGAGCTGCTCCCTAAACTCCCAAACATGGAATACCATGGTTTCTTAACAAAGATTTATTTTTTTTTTAAAAAAAAAGAAAACAAGTTTACCAATAGCTTATCAGAAATCATTTCCAAGTGACTCCTCCTCCCCCTGCAACCCTATTACAATTCAGAAAGCAGCCTGAGGAGCTCCTTATAGAAGAATTCAGATTAAAGTTTTACATCAGCAGGACAAACTGGTCCTGTTATGGAAAGCGTTGACAATCTTAGCAGCAGCACCACAAGGTACATCTGTATTAGCCGTTTCCCTCTCTCTTTGTAATGTCTGAGGTTGCAACCGCTTCAGTACGGTAGTTATCTCTGATCTAATTGCGCACAGCGCGATGCAGAGGGGCTCAGAGCTCATCTGGAGACAGTCATCTTCGTAATACAAGTAAGTAATAAATTCATCCAGATAATTGCAATCAGTGGGATTTATCTATATGCTTAAACAAGAGCTAAGTACTCAAAGCAAATCAGTATTGCACTCAAGTAGGTAAATAGGGACTGGGGAAAAATAAGAGATTGTCCAGTTTGCCATGTTTGTTGGTCAATACGGACAGCACAAGACTTGCCATCCTGGATGCATTCAAGTCCAGCTTTGCACAGGACAGCACGAGCTTTGCTGAGGTACGGATTAGTGCCCCTAGGCATTTTCTTCTTGACAGGGAGTATCAAGAGAAGTAACAGATGTTATTTCAAGTGAGCTGGACTTCATTTCAAGTAACTAGCATGTTATTTTTGCTGGTTGTTGCTTAACTCCGATGAGTTTTGTGCGGCTTGTCAGCGCAGATCCAGGCTGCTGGAAGAGCTGCAGTACTGCTTCCCCAGCACCTGCAATATCCTGTTTTCATGAAAACATATTCTTAAGACTTAAAATAAGTTAATAGTGATAGTTTAACTGGTTTTTCGTTTTGTTTTGGTTTTAATGTCTGGATTGCATCAGGACAATGGCAGTTTTCAGCCTGAAATGTTTATCATACCCATGGTTTTTGTTCATCCGAAAACCTTTTCAGTTTGAGTCTCTGCAGAGCGCTCACCAGCAAAAACTTCTTGCTCTAAATTGCCTTTTACCAGCGCTCCCATCTAAATAATATTTATTAGTGACACAACTCTACTCTCCTGAGACTGCTGCTCATTCCTTTGGGGCTTCTTCCCCAGATGCTAGGTCCACTATTTCTTCCATAAGCTCAGCGTGCAATCAAGGATCCCACGGAACTTTCTGAATTTGGGTTCCCAGATGGTACTGCAGCATGCTGCTAAGCTACTCAATTAGCAGCATGTACCCTTTGGTAAATAGTTAATTTTAATCTTATTTGAGGATATTTAATGGCAGTTAGCCTCATCAGTATCATACCCAACAGAAATACCTGTGATGCATGTTTAGGCGTTGCTGCAGGGGGGAAGAAACAGGCATCTTCAGGGTTTTTTTCAGGGCATTAGATGGTTGCATCAGCACTTGAACTAAGCCATCAGTAAGTCCAAGGCAGCAGTGGACATTCTGCACTCAAGAGAGTATCCAGCACTGACCTCCTGGAAACTTCTGAAGGTCAACTGGATTTCGATTCAGTAACGGCTAATTTTAACTGCTAAACAAGTGACGGGAGATTGTTACAAACTGCTTCAATAATGTTATTCTACATTAAGGTTCCCAAAAGCTACTGTGAAATTCCTACGGATATGAGCCTTGTAGATCGAGTCTACTGTCTAAAAAGTCACTACCTCTACCAATTCGGTTGCTGCCTCTACCAGTTCCCAGTAACTGGTCTTATATGAACACTTTGGTGTCTGACAGATTAACCTAGTCATTTGTAGGGACAAAGAAATCCCCAAAACAGTCTCTCTCACTCTCCTGTCAGCTACTCATACTCTTAAACAAAATCATTTATTTAATTTGGGTCCTCTACAGTCAAATGTGATGTAAAGTGGTAGCTCAGAAGTTAGGAGAGTGGAAGAAGAGGCATGAACTTGTCTTTTTCATTTCATGCTCTCCGTCTTTTATCCAGTTTCTTCTATTCCCTCAAAGTTTTTTCTAACGTCTCACCTCCCTATCCACCTTTACTTCAGCTCTGTGAAACAGATTAATTTCCCAATTTATATATATCCTATGTATCGACTATAGGCCTAAATAAATCAGTGACTTGCTGTAGGTAAGCCATTTCAATCTTACACCTCACTGAGTCGTATTAAAAACTACAATCTCTACTGCTACTTTTTAGACACATGGAAAGAATATCAATTTAATCTGTGCTACTGTGTTGAAGTATGTTTTCAAGACACAAAACTTCATCTCTAAGGCTGAAGTAATTATCCCCATGATACACATTAAAATAAATCTCTCAGATTTTCTGCAGTAATGGTCTCTAGGCTTGTCCTACTTGGTTTGTACTGCTGCATTCTGCTTCACTTCTAAGCGCTGACCTACAAATTTTAAAACTCTGCATCCTAGTATGACTAATACACCGCACGATAAGGGCGGACCTGGGTACAAAGTCCCACTTCTAAAACAAATCTAGATTCACCAGCAACCCCATAATGTAAATTAAACCTACGTTACGCTGAAAGTTGTTTCTGAATCATACATCCACTGCCAAATCTAACCTCACTCTCAGTAATAAAGCTTTTCGGCAAACTGCACTTTTTGGTTAAGGTTTAATACAAATTCTTCAAGCAGTTGTGAAAATTATTTCCTATGCCATTAGAACATGGAAAGCTTTCAGCTCTAGGCAAACTACCATCAAAACATCTCAAGTTCCTTGAAATGGAGTGTTATTAAAACACATTTTTCTACAGTAGATTCATTAACACTACATTTAATGGTTTTAACATGTATCAGTTACACTCTGCTGATTAAACAGAAGTTACTTTTTTAACGAACTGCTACTTTGTAGTGTAACATCAGTTACTGCTCGATACCACAAGCAACTGTAAGAGTCACAATAGCCTGCATGGCACTTTTCAGCTCTCAATCTGGAGCACTTCACAAATATATGTTCACACCCACTTTTCAGATACAGGAACAAGGAAAGATTAAATGACTTTTCCAAGTTCCCACAACGACCTTTCAACAACTCAACAGAAACAGTCTAAAAATCTTCAGAGTTCAGGCTTGTCAGGTCAAAGGGATCATCATCTTGTAGGCAGGGATTCTCTGAGTGCTACTTCTTCGTGGATCTCAGTTCTGACTGCTACTTAGAACCTGCAAAAACCTAAACAATGTACTCTAGAAGACAGGGAAAAACACAGGGCCACCCCCGAAAAATGTTAAAGTAAATAAAGAGAACACAGACCTTGACTCCCACAGCTCTTGAACCCTCTTTACCTTATTTCCAGCATTCGTGCTCCGCACAGTCTAAAAATTTCCCATGTTATTTCCTTCTCTCTTTTAAATCACTTGTCATTCACTGACCAGAAGAAGGTCAAACATAAACTAAAGTGAAAAGCCATAACTTCGACTAAAGCTAATCTCTTGAAACAATGCACTTATTTGGGGAGCTCCCATATTCATCAGTAAGTGGTTATCAAACTCAGCGCCAATCCTGAGCAAAAGCAAGAATTCCCAAACCGAGACCCCTGTGACCTCTCCACAGAGGCATCTTCTGTCAGATGGCAGTGATCTTTAGGGCTATGTGTCTATGTATTTGCTGAATATTATGTGTGTGTGTGTATATATATATACACACACACACACACACACCCCCTCCACCGCAGCTGGCGTGTCACGTTTTATATTACCAACCTTATTTTGCAAAGGCCAAGTTTGCTAATACCTTAAGTCAAACCTAAGATTCAGTATTAAAAATCAGATTAAATTACATTAAATTAAAAATTAAATATCACCTAGATGACTTGCACCCATCAGTCTGACTTCTCAATAACGTATGGTACCTGCAACATCTTCTGGATCCGTTACAACAATGTGTGCATTTAACTCCTGTAACTTATGATGTAAGTCTTCTAACTTCTTATTCGATTTTTTCAAAATGTTGTCCACATATGCCAAGTTCTTTTTATCTGTTGTAACCTTCCTGAGGTTCTCTGCTCCCTCCTTGATTTTAAGTTCCTTCCTTATTTCCCGCTTGATTTGGTCCTTTACTTCATCCAGCTTCTGCTGTACCATTGTATCGGAAAAGTCCAACTTTTGGCCAGTGCTCACATTCTCAGAGGCTAGAAGAGTTTTGGCATCCCCCTAGAAAGAAAAACAGCAATATAACTACCAGAAAACACTGTTTCTTGACAACACATGCTGCACCCTTAAAATGACCACGCTTCAGGCCTCGGTGTATTAAACTCACTCCGTCAGACCATTTACTAACCATGGGTCCACACTCACATTGCCCTAAAGCAACGATCTCGCAAGACATTACACGTTAACTGCAGTTATGTTTTACAACAGATTTATTTTAAATTTAGTGACATCTTTGCTATGCCTATTTTTAACACCAAGAGCTTTAAATACTTCTGGATTTGTCATGGCTGCTTGCCCAGCAGTTATATGCCTCAGAGCTAATGACTCACATTTGTAATTTTCTAGATTTAATTGTGTGTTTTAATAGACCAAATGGATATAGGAAATACGACTAACTTCTAACAATTATTATCTATGACGAATTTTATACATCGTTAGAAGAGATTCCTTTTAAAGACTGTAAAAAAAAAAGTTAAAAAACCCCACAGTGACGTTCACAAATGTTTAAAGAAATACTGGCATCTTTTTAAAGATTTGTCAAGATGTTACTGGGAAATAAATTTGCTAGATTTTTTTTCTTTTTAAAATCCCTCAAGTAAAGCCTTCCACTTTAAAAAGTAATAATTAAAACCCCCTAACTTTCTTGTGCTGGCAAGCTAGGCTGAAACGAAAAAAAAAAAAAAAAGCTGCAGTGATGAACAGGAGTTGGTGTAGTAAGGGAGCAGGTGGAGGAAGAGTCTTCAGACCACTGGTACCCATGAGATCATACTTGTGCCCAGTATATGTTTATGTATCATTGAGAAGTAAGAGTATAAAGGGCGTGTTACAGAAGCCACATCAATAAAATACAAATACAACTAATTACATACGTAATTCCTGTGTGTCTCATACACGGACCCTGTACCATGAGCAGACACCTACCCAAGCAGTCTTGGCTAAAGCTAAATGAGTGATGAACAAAGAAGGGCTCTCCCAAATGTAGAATCTGATCCAGTCATAATTCAGGACATATTTAGTAAACGTGTGGCTTGATCTGCACATAATCACCCAAAAGACCAAAATTCCGGTAAATTTTCTCAAGCACAATGAAGAAATTGCCTAGACTTCTGAAGTATTTGGGTGGACAGTACGGTATCTGAAGGGATTATTAAGAACTCAAAAGTTTTGGGTGTAAAATTAGTTGTCATCACTATTTGCTGTTGGAAATACCAACAATACAGCAGAGGAAACAGCAGAAGAAAACATTCAGGAAGGAGTTCAAGCAGCACAGCATGGAGCTAATGCACTGTAACAACGCCCCAGAACGTATGATCTCTAGATATAGTCTACAGTGATTTGTTTGTTTCGAAAAGAATTTGGGGAAATGGGGATCATGAAGGTTGTGCCTGGGCTAGGCATGTCAGCAGATAACGCTGGTCAAACTATTTCAACCTGTGCACGTTCCAGCAATAGCGCCTTCCATAAGCAAGATCCAATCGACTAGTCCTCAACTATGATTTTACAAGTTTACTAAATCATCTTTAAACCCTCTTACTGAAACATTTCTACCCATAGCTGCTACTTTTTTACTAAAAGTTATCAACTCAGAGATTCTTGAATACTCAAAGTAGCTGGAATTACCATCTTGCCACAGAATTTGTCTGTCAGGGAAAAAGACAAGAAACAAGCAATTTAGAAATGATGAACTGAGTAAGAAAGAATGGGAGGAAAAAATCATGCAAATTTATACTTAAAGTGCACTTGTGATTCCTGCATGTACATTTCTGTTAGTGTGGATTAAAATGAATAATTTGTTATGCATATGTAGAGAGGCTATAAATAGTTGTACTGGGAAATACATGACACTGTTGCCATATATAGGCGTGAAAAAAGAATCAACTTTTTTTTTTTTAAAGGATAATCAACAGTGATGAGCAACTAGTACAAAGGTTCACAACCATAATGAAGGAAACCAGCCACCACGGGAAACTGAAAATAAATTCACATAGCAACCGTACAGCAAACTATTTGTTTAAGTAATAAGTATATTCAGATTAGAGTCAGAGTTTTGATTTCCCTGTTTGTCTAACACATACAAATTTAGGATGGAAAAAAAAAAGCTTCAGGATTAGCATATGACTACTTAGCCTTTAAAAACAGAGATCAAAACAGTGTTTGTAAATAAAAAAGTGTGTATTTTTAAACCATAATCCTTTGCACTTGTTCTGCAAGCTTCCTAGGCATAAACTCATCATCGACCTCCTTCAAAGCACAATATGACACTTTCTGAAGTTCACAGGAGAAGGACAACTGGTAAATGTAAAAAAAAAAAAAAAAAACCCCAAATGACAACCAATCCCAAAACCAAAACAAAACCTTTATTCCATATTCCAACGGCACCTGAAGTATGCTAAAACTATGCCAAGAATGCACACTTCTTAAACAGAACTGTGTAATTAAAATATAAATAATTCAGAAATATTCTTGACTAGGGCTTCCCAAAGACACGTCAGTTAATTGTTTATCTATTGAACAATCACATATTTTGTTACAGGGGAGGTTTTTATCCCTCTACAAGCCCTAGGTCCCACCTGTTAAAGGGATGTTATGTTCTGCCATAAACAGGTTTTTGGAGCCCCTGGTCCAGATATAGAGTCTCTAACAAGTCTTCAACTAAATTAAAGCTCCATGATCATTAGTAATTTGCATTCCAAATTTCCAGATATTAAGTTAAAGTTCTCCGCAGCTTGTGGGGTCTCGGCAGCATCTTTGTCCATGGACTTAAAGGTGTCAGGATACAGATTCGTCTTCTTCAATCTGCTTCCGAGACAGCTCCGAGTCCAATAGTGTGGATGCTGACACCGGGAGCTGGTCACGTTGCCTACGCCTTTAAGCATTCATCTTTAAGTCCTCCCAAAAGCCACAGATGATACTCCCTCTGTCTCTCTTTTGTCATCCAGAGTTAATTATACTTTTGAACTAAAAGTACCCCTCACCTAGTTTCCTAAACATGTCACCTGGCACAAAGGTCACTGTGAAATAAACAGTCTTCCAAGGAGGCACCCGTGTGCTCGTTGACCCTGGAGGTCACCACGAAGGCAGAGCAAGAGCGTGTTCTGCAAGCGAAGCCGCTCTGCCCCCGCGCTGACACGTTTTGCTGCTGGGACGCAACAAAGGTTTGAGACAGATCCTCATGCCAGAGAGATGAGCAGCTCAGCAACGTTCCATTACAAAACGGAGATAGCACCGAGATGGACACAACGTCTAATGGCTGAGTAAGAGAAGTGAGGCAGGATTTTTTTCTTTAAGAAAAGCACCTCCCAAAACACCAGGCTCAAACTCTGCTTTTAAACTGAGAAGTGACTTAAAATACAGCATATTCCAGCTTTATTTGATGACAACCCATTACGAGCCTCTTGTTAGAGATGAATATTTTTTCAAAAAATTCTTTTCCTCGTTTGGATGAGCTCCTACCCAGGTTGAGCCCCACATCCAGGAGGATGTATGTGTTCTGTCCCCTCAACCTGAAGACTGAGTAAGTCAATAGAAACAACGGCTGGAGGCAGGGGCCAGGTCCTCTCCTGTGCACTGTGCAAGCAGGGCAGGGTGCAAACCAGGAGAAATCATTCACGCTCTCTATGACAAGAAATGAATTTTGCACAGCCACTTCCCTCCCAGAATTATTTAACACAAAATACCTTAAGAGTGGAAATGCTCTGAAGCAGATAATGACTAAACCACTGCTGGCAAAACAGAGAACAGGCCTCGCTGCTTTAAAATCCAAGACAAAATGCGCAGCCAGCTATTGACTCCGAGTTTCTTTTTAATTTTGGTATTGTTTTGACTGCTGGTTAAAAGAGAGGAACCAACCTTTGCTGGGTGGTCCCAGGCCTGGACCCCTCGGCAGAGCATCCTTCTTCCCTTGCGCTGCAGCAGCCGGCTGGTGACCTAGTTCTTTGCCCCAGCAGCAGCAGGAGCAAAGGGCAGAGGCACCCGGTGCTGCTCCCAACAACCTGCTTCTGGGCTGCGTGGAAAGCAATTAGAGGCGGTGGTGCATACTTCTTTGCCATGGGAAAAATACATGTTTAGGAGCCAGACTGGAGATTTCTGAAATATTTCAGCATGTAATGAAACTGAAGCTATGTTTACTACAATAAACTATCAAGGACCACAAATTAGATACTACTGGTTAAAAAAAAAAAAAGAAAAAAAAAAACCACAGAAAAAAGAAAGAGAAAAAGGAATCCACATATATAGCTTTGCTACTGCAGTGGCCTAATGACTCAACCTCGCTTTGATTGCTGGCTCAAAGACTATCTATTTACACAGATGAATTCAAGATGCCAGCCTTCAATTTCTGTACTCCTGGGAAATGTTTTAAGTATAGCTGCTGAAAATAATGGGTAGTGGTCTGAGCATGTCTTTTAATAATACACAGAGTCTATTCTGGCTGATGTGGTGAGAGAGAGTAGTAATGTTGTTTATGAAAACCCATGGGGACCCCATACTTTTTCCTCAGGTCAATTCTGAACCAAATAATGGGTGAAGCAGGTGCCTTGCCAAACTGCATGTACCACCCAAACTCCCATTTAAGAATGCTGAACGATGGAAATGGTACTGCTGAATAGAAGAGAGTACCATGGAGCTGAACATATCAGAGAATCTGCTGAAGTTGTGTAAACCAAGTGAATTCTCATCCAAAACGAGATTCTCGAGTGGCCACCTCTTAGAAGAAAGAGACAACGCTAAAATCCTGGGCATTAATGACTCCCAAAAACTTGCTCCTAAGAGCCCAGTACAGCTGCACCGCGTTGTACCATGTCTTCATCGTAGAGAATATTGAATGGGGCAAGAATTCAGATTGCTTGCTTCTGGTAGGAATTGTTATCGAGAGGGAAGCGGAGCCTTAAACTACAGCGTGCTTAACAGCTGAGGAGTACCCATGCACAGTATTATTTACCCTTCACAGGGACTTGCTGCTAGCACACACTCCACCTGCCTTTAGGAAAAAAAAATC